TAAACTGGGTAAGGAGAGTGGGATTTTGTACCTTGGGTATCAACACGAGTACCGTATCATTAATGCTTGCAGCAGTCTCCTCTCCACGGACGATCTGAAGCACCACTTTAGTTACTTCATCCCCACAAATGTCCCAGTGGCGCTGATAGAAGTGTGCAGGAAAACCATCTGGCCCCGGTGCCTTCGTAGGAAACATCTGAAACAGGGCCTGCTTTACTTCCTCATTTGTGTAAGGAGCGCAAAGCGAAGCATTCATCTCTGGTGTCACTTTCCGAGGCACATGTTGTAATACATCATCTACCCCATGTACACCTTCCGTCGTGTACAAGGTTTTATAGAAATCTGTCACAAGTTGTTTCATCTCAGCCTTGTCCTCTACTCTTATACCCAACGCATTGTGTAGGGCTCGAATCATATTCTTCCTACACCGCATATTTGCTCTCATGTGAAAAAAAATTGTGTTGCGATCACCCGCAGTCAGCCACTGTATGCGCGATCTTTGTCTCCACATTAACTCCTCCCTATGATAGAGCTCAACCAGTCGTTCATTCAACTTTTGCTCAAGGTGATTTGGAGCAGTCCTAGACGGAACACTCCGAAGCCTCTCTAGCTCCGCTTTTGCCTTCTTGATCTCCTTCCTAACACTTCCAAAAGTTGCATCCTCCCATGCCGAGAGGTTCTTTGACAGAAGCTCCAATTTTCTGCGGATCCCCTCAACTCCTTGATCCGCTTGCAGTTCGCTCCATCCTGAGCTGATAGTGTCACGCCATGATTCATGTGACTCCCACATCACTTCGTACCGGAAGCTCGGTTTAGGGCGTGGTAAAACCTCTTCAAACTGCACGAGTATTGGTCCATGATCCGAGGACGCCGAAGTTAAGTTGTAACCTTGGCCATAGGGAAAAGAGCCGCCCAATCAGCTGTGGCCATCCCTCTGTCAAGCCTCACGCGGGTGTAGGATCCCCCGGTCACTTTTTTCTCAAAGGTCCAAAATCTGCCATGATAGCCCAAGTCCATCAACATGCAAACGTCAACCGCATCCCGAAAACCTTGTATTTGTGCATTACTCCGATTAGCAGCTCCCTCATGTTCATCAGGACGTAAAACTTCGTTAAAATCGCCCAAACACAGCCAAGGGAGGTTGCTGAAAGACGCCAACCCCTTTAGGAGATCCCATGTTTGGTGTCTCAGTTGTGTCTGGGCCTCGCCATACACGCATGTAAACCTCCATGGGTCTTTCCCTTCCTCTACCACCTTTGCATCAATATGATAAACAGAATCACCCAAGATCTCAACCTTTATTGTATTATTCCAAAAAATCCCTATTCCTCCACTTCTTCCTTGACTATCTATCGTATAGGCATTATCATAGCCCAAAGTGTTAGCTAAAGCTTCTACACGTGCACCCTTTATTTGAGTTTCAACAATACACAGCACGGTAGGGATAATTTTCTTCGCAAAGTCGCGAAGCTCACGAACTGTCGCGGCTTTACCCGCGCCGCGACAGTTCCAACAGAATGAACTCATTGCGTCCGGCGGCACTCCTTGGAGGAGCCCGCCAATCCATCATACTGGTCCTTGCCACATTCCACTCCATCTGTCACCATACTCGGTGTCCCTGCATCAGACAGCTCCTTAAACAGGGTTCCTTTATTGCCAACATCTTTCTTCCGTCGCTTCACCTCTTTCCTTGGAGACACATATACAGGCGGCATCGGTGGAACCCCGGCCGGCTTTCCAGAGATTACAAGAGCTGTAGAGCTCACTGGGACCACGTCCCCTTCTCCATCATCGCTCGACTGAACTGTCTCTGGATGGTTCTTGTCCGAAGATTGCCTCTTGTTACTTGCCACCACTACCCCCAGCGTTGCAGCAGTCGGTTCCTCGATCATACCCTTGGGCTCGCTTGGCCCCGACACTTCTGTGGTCATTGCATTGTCCTCTTTTTCATCCTGCCTCCCCGCCTCCCTGCGAGGTTCATTCTGATATGTATTGAAGCGCCAACTTTGATTGGGGTTATACTGCTCTCGCCCCCTACCTCTTCCTCCTGCATTCCTTGGGCTGCCTCGTCCCCTCTGGTTACCAAAACCACCTCTGCCAGGTTGCCTGAAGCGAATATTGTCAGCCAGAACAAAGTCACCCCACTCAAACTTTGTCTCATCATGAACACCATCACCACACTCCTCGTGCCAATGCCCGCATTCACCACAGTTAAAGCAAAAGACAGGTAATTTCTCGTATTTTACTTGATATCTAACTCGTTCATCCCCCTTCTTTCCAGTGACAAACCTCTTAATTTTTGCGTTGATATCGATTTTCACCCTCACCCGGACAAATTCACCAAAGAAACCTGCCGGTAGCTTGAGTTGCACTTCTTCCACATCGCCAATTCGCGATCCCCCTGACTGCAGGCTCGATCAAAAAGTTGTCAGGTAAACAATGGATTTGTGCCCAAACTGCCAACTTATCCAACTTGATGCTATCAGGGTTTTTGAACCCATCATACTCCGCCAAAATCACTGCTTGGTCTCTGAAAAGCCATGGCCCCTCTAGCATGGCCTTATTCCAATCCCCTAGACAACCAAACTGCGCTGTGAACAAGTTGTCATTCACCTTCCTCCAGACCACCGTTTTCGCTGGATTCCAGGCTGCACGCATGTCCCCATAAAGAGCATTAGGGCTAAAAGTCCTTGTAGTGTGTACCCTGGCTATGGCTAGCCACTTCGCCGACGCCCCCGGATCCGGCAACTCCTCCTCCCACACGAACTCATCATCTTCCTCCTCCTGCAAATTCAACCTGGCTAGCAGCTCCTCCGTCGTCTCCTTGCCATGCCGCCCCTGCGAGCTTGATCCCGACGCCATGAACCGAGCAGTCTAGTCGCCGCCAACAAAAACCCTAGATCGATCTGCCGGAAAAAACCACTAGAACCAAGGCCGGGTAAGGTCACGAGGGGCCTCCCTTGATCAGCCCGAGTCCAGGGGATCACCAGCAGATTCGATCGGGGAAAAGAAGGTAAGATCCGGCCGCGGCGCCGGAGTATGTCGAAACCCTAGGCTATCGCCGTCGGGGAGAGAAAACGACTTGCCGAGAGAAAACGACTCGCCGAGAGAAAACGGTACGTCTCGTCTAATAACACAAGGAGTCAGTCCCCTACGTTCGCCAAAGGGCCCCGCATCTTCTCTCTTCTTATTTTGATTGGGCCACAAGGATAAATAAATGTACAAAAATAAATTAGTGTTTTCTCTGTAACCTACGTTGTGAGTAACTTGAGCGCAGTTACATAACGGATGCTGCATTGGGCCTCTGCTGGGCCTGAAAAAAGTCACCAACTCAATAAGTTGGGTTCTTCCTATTATCACTAAATATTACCACCTCGCACCCTTAGAACCAAAACCACCAATTTATATATGTTTGTCTCAAAAAAAACAATTCATATATGTCTTGGAGTTACCTATTTCGACCAACTCAATAAGTCAGCTTGGGAATCAATAAGCAGAGGATGAGGATGATGACGTGAGAAGAAGCTAAAGTAAGGAAGGAATATGATGTCATGTGTGGGCTAATTAAGTGGGAATCAATAAGCTGCATAATTATTGCAGGTTGCACGATGTGCATATTGAGATTCAATAAGTGGTGTGTTGACAAAATACTACATTCATGAATGCGAAGAAGCTCGCTGCCAGGTATTAGAGGAGTTCTCCGAGGTAGAGGAGGATAGTAGGGCGAGACAAACGAAAATAAGTAGATGCATGGGATAGCTAGCAATGTCTTTAGTTGCAACGCACGGACATTTGTGCTAGTATTAGACATGTTCGCCGCTTATATATAGCAAATATATCTAAAAAAATAACTTACTGAACGCGGAGTAGTCATTGTCGTCGCCATCATCATCGTCGTCCTTCTCCTCCTTGACGCGGCCGTCCCTGGCGCACCCCTGCCCGGCGTCGCCATGGCGGACTGATGGCGGCACTGGGATGTTGGCCTCGAACAGGAGCCACGACTCTTGTTCGCGGAGCGAGCGACGGCCGAAGCCGTTGGCCGCCGCCTCATCGCCGAGGAAACGTTCGGCCATCGCCGGGGCTGTCATAGTCCTCGAAGGGCTCGAAGGCGGCACACGGGAGAGGGAGGGCTCGGCGGCGGCGCACGGGAGAGGGAGAGCTCGGCGGCTAGGGCTGGTGTGGCCAGAGGCGAGGGAGGCCACCAGCTTTATATAGTCACGCCTGTGTGTACGCATGCACGGGAGGAGAGGGGTCGCCGCACCACCCCGTGACGAATCAATGGCAAGGCTGACCGGCGGCAGCAGCCTTGGCATTGATTCCCGCAGGAACCAAGGCGATGAGGGCGACGAAGCGCCGGTCTCGCTGACTCGGCAGGCCCGTGGCTGCTTCGCGCCAAAACAACTCGCCCCGGCGTCCCTGGGCGCACCGGATTCGGCCTGGGTCCGGCTCCTCGGAATGCAACTGGGCCATTTTTTCGGCGCCGGCGCGAAAAAATCGTCTGAGAAGGCCTTTCTGGGGCGCGGCTGGAGATGCTCTTAGCTTTTGGGAGGGTCCTTGCCTCCTTGGCCATGTCTACTGTAACCGCTTGTTTAACTTCAAACCCTGTAGGATGCAGAAAAATCAGTATTACGCCCAACTCAGAAACTTCGCAGTGGTTGCATCCGGAAATACCTAAGTTGCTAATTAGTACCACAGTACAGCAGTGCCGTTGCTTATGGAAGTCGTAGCAAGCTAGCCCGTTCTAGGCAAACAGTCTCAGCAAACTTGGTAAGGCAAGCCCTGCTTGCTCCCCCAGCATACTTATGAGCGTCAAACAATACGGCTGGCGTGATAGCACAATGCTGAATAAAGTCTCCACACACGTCTGCAATGTGCTCCTTCCTTTGCATGATGATGGGCTGCGCCCCCAAACATAAAACCTAGCCGGTCCCATTGTATCTTCTTCCTTCTGAACCTTAGCACTTCCTTGATTGATGGAAATGATAGAGAAAACCGGGTGGCTAGGCAGTTTCTGCATTGGAAGGCTCAGCTCCAACCTTCCACTTCTCAAATTCTGCAACACTCAACAGAAATGAGCTTGCGTTTCGATGCCCCCCACCTCCGAATTCCTGGAAACAGAATCAAACGCAATACTTAACAGCAGTCTTGACGCACACCCATTCACAAGCTAAGGTAGTTCAACACTGGAGATCCATAAGCAGAAAAGGTACCTGGGAGATAGAAGTCATGTCTTCTTGTCCCAAACTTCTCAGGCTGATTTTTAGCATCTCGTCGTTATTCAACTCGGGGACTTTATATACTACAGCGCCAATAGCTCTGAGAAAAATAGAGCGCAACTGGCATTATAAACTGAGACAACATGGTGCAGTGAAGTCGAAATTATATCTTAGATAATGAATAAGAAATAATGCAGAAGAGAGACCATGGGTTCAATAGACAAATTGGGGAATGTGAAACTTGCCTCAGATTGGAATTCCGACTCTTGTTAGCGAGCTGATTTCCGAGTTCGCTTCTCAGCATTGAAATAGCATCAGCATTGACAGCCTAAGGGACAACAGAACCAGTACTATTGATGATAATGAAGAAACAAAGACAGTAAAAAGCTTATCCTAAGTTAAGAGGACCAGACATTAGAATGTGTGTGGATAAACAAAATATCCACTGAAGGATTCCTGTTTAAATTTATCAGTTGATACAAAAAAAAATTCTTGAAGGGCCAGAATCTGAAGGGGTTATCTGCAGAACCCTTCCTACCAGATGCACTTCCACATCACAAAGCTTTGGCAGATTGATTAGTACCATTTATCTTCAGCACAAGGGTAAGATGTGCTCAACAGTACGATCATAAGCCAAATAGACATCTCTAACAATACAGGAAACATATCATTTGGACGAAACACACTGCCAATCATAAAGGAGAATGTTGATATTCTACTATAAATCAAACTAACCACATCAATCAGGTAGAAAAATAGATTTTACCCGAGATAAATAATTACTAACAGATAATGGAAGTTAATGTTATGACAGTTGTGATTACGCAACAATAATTCCAGTGCGTCTTTATGTAGTACCACACTTTCAATCTTTCACATACATCACCATGGGATGTTGACATAACATGGAGAAAACTTATCGCACATAGAACAAAAGTTCACAGAGAATAATCAAGAAACAAACAGAGGATAGGGATATTTATTTTACCAGACAATTCCCAAACTGGCCACATCCTAGTGCAATTTCAAAGGACTTCTGCAAACAATCATCAATTAATGTTTGCTTCTGCGATAATGTTACTTGTCCCCGAGAAATGACTTGCTCGGGATCCAACTCCAGCAACTGCAATCAGACCAGCACAGTTTTACAGAAAGGTAATGGTAATAAGCTTTAGAAGTACAAAAGGAATATCAGTATCTAAGGTATGTCAGCTGATGTCAGTGCTTTCCGACATCTCTACAATAAAGGATGTAATCATCAAGCACTAGAAGTTAAATTATCAGTCAAGATTCAACTGGTCCGGCTCGGCCCGTTGGACGGTGGACCGCACCTTGCTTTTGTTACCATCTGGGTAACCGGACGGCCCTGAAAACCTTCAGGGTCCAACAGGCGCAAACCCCTTCGAACCTCGGGTCAAACCGCACCTAGCTCACCAGAATACTTCCACCGCGTGATGGGTGGAGCATGGAGCAAGGCACGCCGCTGGCCACCGGAATAAACTCGTCGGAGAGGGCCGCTCACCCCTGCCGACTGCCGTCTTCTCCATGATCTGCCTCTCCTTTTCCCGGTCAGTCTCTGGGCTCCCCACCGCCAGAGCAGGTTAGCCGTCAGTCGCCGGGACTCCGCGACGCGCGGGGGTGCTCGCAGCTGGGGAGTGCCTCCACGGAGTAGATTAGAAAAACCAGTTTCAAGCAAGATCTGATACCCTTGACGGATTCCCAGGAATGAGAGAGCAAGTACAAGGACAATCTTATTTTCTAAGTCCCCATGTACAGCATCAATTAAACCTCCTACCAGTTTCTTTGTCATCTTCTTCTCCTGGTGTATAGAACCAGCCAACAAGTTGAACTGCAGCCATAGCCGAGCAAACAACAGCAGCATGTACTAGCTAGGGGCAGACCTACGAACCTAAAGGTGCCCCATTATCCTGAGAGACGAGGTGCGGGCCGAACCTTTAACCTAAATTATCCTAATAGGTTCAGAGATGGTAACAACAGCAGCAGCGTTCTCTAAGTTTTATCACACTATGTTGGGTCGACACAGTGCAGCCCAACTACCCAAACCAGGTTCCATGGATGGAGCACGTCGCTCGCCCATGGCCAATGCACACGCACTGCGCAAGCCTGCTTCCTTCTGTTGTAATCCTCCCATTGTATACTCACGTATAAATACCTTGTCAGTAATGAATATAGGTACACGATGATTTACACTATTAATCTTGCTATCTGACAACCTCTTCCACTCTTCCGCCATGTCCAGCGACCCCAATGCTCGCAACCTCAGCGGCAGCTGCCAAAGTTCCTCCAGTCATGGCTTTCCCTGCTGCTCCCATGATGAATATGTTGGCCTCTCTCGGTGACGCCTTCACATCGAGCATGACGGCATCGCTTCCTCTCACTGCATCTGTCACCAACTCCGACGTGCGTGCCAGCCCTAGCAAGCCGTCCATGCACCACATCAACATGACCTACTACATCGACTTCAAGCTCAATCTATCAGCAAACAACTACTCCAAGTGGTGTCGACTCATGTACTTCGTCCTCTCCAAATACAATGTGTAGAACCACGTCCAAGTGGAGATGGATCCACAGCAAGAGAGCGCCGAGTGGCGCCATGATGACATCACCATTGTCCTCTGGTTCTACACCACCATCTCCGACAAGCTCTTTGACGTCGTCAAGTGGCCTCTCCATCGCCGCCTACTGCCGGCGGCTGAAGTCCCTCGCCGCCGTAGACAAAGCCGCGTTGGACAAAACCCTATGCTACAGATGATCCATGGGCTCAACCGACGTTTCCAGGTGATGGACACTGTGCTCCCTATGCACATCCCTTTCTCAACCTTCATGCGAGTTCTCTCATGTCTTCTGCTTGAAGAGATCACACTCATTTAGTGTGAACGTGGCGAGAGCTCCTGCCGTTATCATGGAGGAGCTCTCTACGCGTTCACACTCGATAAGAATGATGTTAATCTCTTCAAGCACACGCGAGTCTCACCTGCACAAAGGTCGGGAAAGGGATCTGCATAAGGAGCACCGTGACCATCCCTGGAAACGTTGGTTGCGTTCTCAGATCATCTGCAGCGTGAGGGTTTGTCCAACACGGGTTCGTCGGCATCGGCAACGGACTTTAGTCGGCGACTGTAGGGGACGATTAGAGGTCGCCCTGGACAGTGGCGCAAAACTCCGAATTGAGATGGATAGCACGCCATGGCTGGTTGTCGCAGAAGAAGGTGTGAAGTTGATTCCACATGCGGTACGTTGTGTTGTGTGGAGACATGACAACGTCAAATAGCTCGTGGGAGATGGTGGCGTAGAACTAGAGAACAACGGTGATGTCGTGATGGCGCCACTCAACGCTCTCTATCCGTGTACAGTATCTGGAGAAGACGGGGTACATGGCTTGACGGTACTTGGAGTGGTTGTTCACCACCGGATCAAGCTTGAAGTTGATGTAGTAGATGATGTTGATGTGGTGTATGGATGGTGGGGGCATGCTAGGGCCAATGCGCAGGTCTGAGCTGGTGACTCCCTTGGCGAGAGGAAGGGGCGCCGTCATGCCCGATGTGAAGGCGTCACCAAGAGAGGCCAGCAGGTTCACCATGGGAGCAGCAGGGGAAGTAGTGATTGGAGGAACTTCAGCAATTGTGGCCATAATGTCAGCAAAAAGTCACTGAGGTTGCTATCAATCACTGGACATGATGAAAGAGTGGAAGAGGTTGTAAGCTCTAATACCAAGAAGTGTACTCACCGTGTACCTATATTCATCAAACAAGGTATTATACATGAGTATCCAACCGGAGGATTTTAACAAAAGGAGGTATGTGTGCTACGTGCACGCAGAGCATGGCGTGACGTGAGCACGCTGGCGTGGGCGATCGGTGTGCTCCATCCATGTCGCCCGGTTCAATAGTTGGGCTGCACTGTGTCTATTCGTCCAACAACCCTCATGCACTAAAAGATAAATTATCAGGAAACAACACCATTTCTAAGTTTGATCAAGGTATGATGCTAAGTTGTGAATGAGTGTTCAAGCAATTATTTCACTAAACAGCAACCTGAAGTGGTTATCATATAACTAAAATAACAAAGACCAATATTCAATGCAATATAGAGTGATAAAAGATGGTGAACATCCATGTTCAAGTGAAAGGAGGAAGTGCTACTGCAGAAAACCATACTACTACTAACAAGTAAATCATCACCTGATCAAATAACTTCCCATTTGAATTGACATTAAATTCAATGTTCAGATCTTTGAGGCCACTGCTGAAGGCCTTGCTATTCGGAATAGTCCATCTCCACAGATCTCCATCCTCAATAAACTTGAAAAGCTTGTGCACCATTTCAAGCTTGTTTTCAGGTAGATATTTCATTTCAGTTACAGAATTACCACTTCCATGATTCCGTGAAGTACTAGCTTCTGTTAATAACTTGTTCCTAAAGTAGTCGAATGCAATTGTTGCTCCACTGCGTTGCATGTCAATCACCTTATTCACGTTTTCTCCAAGTGTGGCACTCCCACACAGACTTTCCATGGCAGTCTTATGATGGTCTAAGATTGTTACACTGAAAAGGGTAAAACGATGTAAGTGTCCCCAAGCGACATTCTCCCAACTGAAAACATGGTAATAAATCAAGGTTGTGTGCATCAATCGATGAAGAGGCCAGGGGCATGCCTCCTTTTTGAAAAGAAAAAGAGTGACAATCTCACACAACTTTCGGGAGAAGCCTTATGATGGTCCAAGATTGTTACAGTGGAGAAGATAAACAACTATAAGTACCCTAGTATTACCAAGAAAATATTATAGTGCACAGCTTCACAGTTCCACAATATTCAAAATATTGAAGGCCACAGTGTGTTACAAACATTTGAGAATGCCCTGCTAGTGTGCATAAAATTAGGAAGAATCACATCCAAATGAATCTAAGATTAACCACACGGTTCACATCAAACAATGTAAATAATGCAACATAAAGGGAAACGGTCAGAGATGAATCTTTACAGACCTCTGAACTTTCGGGGCTATATCAGCAACAAAACCAGGAGGCCCTACGAAGTCAAGAAGGTAAACGTCTTCGATTTCATCAAACGGAAGACCATCGCTCCTGCAAAAGGAAACCCATAAGATCAAGGTTATAACAGGAGAAACACAATATCGTCGTTTTTCTTTTAAGGTACAAGATCATCGCTTTCGGTCTGCTCTGCCAAGGCTTGCATAGCATGACAACAAACACTAATGAGTTCTGCGTGATATTTTCGACCATTCCAATCAGCCACGACTAATGATGTATTGAAATTTAAAGGAAGATACTCCATCCAGTTCAGACTATGCCCAACTTTGTCTCAAGATAATATGACTCCAGAGCATGGGTCCTTCTTATGTGAAATATAATTTCTAACTTGAGATGATTTTTTTGGTCGGGATACAGATTGCACAAAAAATTGGCATGCATCTAGCTTAAACGACCTAACGACGCCAGGATTTGCCAAAGTGAAACTACACCTGAACACTGCAAAGGTAACGCCGTAACGCCCTATCAAATCTTACTAACACTGACTGTCAAAGTGAGCACCTGAAAAGAGCGTGAACCGTACAGATTTGATATCGTGCATTGATCTTATGGTAGGTCAGGTCTGAAGTTCGGAAAGACTACCTGATGGGGTCATAGACGGTGTTGGGGAAGAAGCGGACGGGGAGGGCGGCGGCGGAGAAGTAGAGGTGGGCGGCGAGCGCGGCGAATGCGCCGTCCGGGCACGGGTAGTGGTACAGCACGGCCGATACCTTCCGCGCGGAACCGGCGGCGCCGGCCATATGTATTGCGGCGCCGAGGCGGATGGCGAGCTTAGACGGGAAAAGCGGCGCGGCTGGGGCGGCGCGGCGGGCGGTTGAGTGGGTTTCCTGGTTTCGTGGTTTTGGCAACGACGAAAATAACGTAGCTCCAGTAAATAAATCTTTCCGTAAAGTCATTTTACGGGATGACCGTCTAATTTGGAGAATTTTTCTAAAAGCATCTCTAACAGACCCCGTATAATTTTACCAGGCCGTGTTTTTTTGCCGGTTTTACGGGACGGTCAAAAAATCCGACTCAACCAGGTCCGGTAAAAACGGCCCAGCCCATAAAGATTCCGCGATTCCGGTATATATGCCGGCTCCGCAACGATTTAGGGTTCCCATCCTTCTTTTCCACATCCATCTTCAGTGACCGCTGTGTTACTTTCATTCCGGCATCAAATCGAGCGACTTTCGGCGTCGTTTTTCGGCGAGGTTAGGCACCCGAGGCGAGAGGAGATATCGTGCGCGAGATCCGGGAGGGGTGGCCGAGGGGGGCTCGGCGATGACCCACCCCGCAAGTGCCGCCACGACGCGGTGGCCGGTAGCTCCTCCCTCCGCCCGCTACTGGAGGAATGGCGGAAGGAGCAGACGTGCATCTGTGGCGCCCGCTCCCGCAGCGCTGGCGCACGGGCGTGGAGAAATTTCAACCGGCTCGACCGCATATTCTCCCCCACGCTCAAGCGTCTCCGAGCGGCGGAGAATGTGTGGTTCGAGGCCAAGGTGGTCGCCGCCGTCGAAGATGAAGCTCCAGGCGCGCACATCCTGGTGTTGTTCGAGGAGTACAAGCTCGCGCAAGTCCTCTCCAACACCCTCATGTACCACCACCTCCATGGCAACCCGCCTCGTGACGACGAAGATGACGGCGATGAGTAGATCTAATATGCTAATATGCACCCTGTTTAAGTATGAACTATTTAATTTCCATTCGTATTAAGTATGAATCCTGGTATGCTATGTTTGAACTATGGTGATCTAGTTTGAGCGTGAATTGCAAGTTGAATATGCAGTATCGATATGAAGGATCTATTCTGACTAAGCGTTCAACGTCCAGCAAAAATTGTTTCGGGATACCGTAAATGAGTTTTGCGAGATTGCCGGTTGAGGGATCGGCTAGAGATGCTTTAACATCTATTTTTCTTCATTCCCTTAAAACTTTTTTATAAATATTATTTTGGTATTGTTTTTTTTTTGAAAAAAAAAAGGCAAAACCTTCGGCCTCTGCATCAATCGATGCATGCAGCCATCTTATTAAAAATAGAGTAGCAAAGTCTTAGGGTCACAAGAGACCCATAATCATAGTGCAAAACAAAATAAAACATAAAAAAGATGCCACATCCGGCGATACAGAGCAGACTACGATGCTTGTACACCTAGCCTATTATCAACTCGTCATTCAAATCGGCTGAAGATAGCCCGTGCTACCGTCTCCCAACAGTTGCATCCAATTACCAAAAGCACCCTGGAGTCCACGTGAGTGAGTAATGACCACATACGGATTTCTGGTATTCCATATCACCCAAAGTAGTGCACATATCCTTATCCGAATATGTTTCCTTGTATGTAAGTCCGCTCCATTGAGCCGCGTCACAAATAACGTGTTTATACTCGTTGGGGGATGGACGTTAAAATCTATACGAATTGAGCGCCATAATAGTTTTGCAAGTGGACACTCGAGAAATAGGTGTTTAATCGTTTCATTGTGATCACAAAAACAACATCTGAAGTTACCGATCCAACTTCTTTTTAGCAAGTTATCTTTGGTCAATAAGACTCCTTTGTGAACGAACCACATGAAAATCTTAATTCGGAGCGGAAATTTAATCTTTCAAGTGTATAATGACCTAGGCAGTGGCCCGGAATCAATTAAGTCCAGATACATAGATTTCACTGAAAATATCCCGTTCGCAACTAACTTCCAGTGAATCGTATCCTCATGGTCAGTTGAACTTCCATCAACCCGCGGACAAGATGCAGCCACTCGTTTCAACGTTCCCCCACTAGGGATCTCCTAATTTGGATATTAAGCGGTACCAAATTTAATATTATGGCGACATAATCTTCCTTTCGTTGCACAATATTATAAAGTGATTGATATTGTAGAGCCAGAGGCACCTCCCCTAGCCATGTATCCTCCCAGAATCTAGTAGTGATCCCTTTACCTGCAGTGAACTTCACCCGTTGGAAGAAGGTGACCTTTGTCCTCATTAACCCTTTCCAAAAAGGTGAGTCTATAGGTCTAGCTGTAACTTGGGCCAAAGTCTTAGTGCGTAAGTACTTATTCCGCAATATTTGTACCCACATACCCTCGGTCTCCATCGACAGCCTGTATAGCCATTTGCTAAGCAAGCATATGTTCTTTACCTCTAAGTTCTCGATCCCTAGCCCACCTTGGACCTTTGGTCTGCAGATAATATCCCATCGGGCCAATTGGTATTTCTTCTTAGCCTCATCACTTTTCCAAAAGAAGTGCTACCTGCGTTGGTTTTCCCCAAAGAGGAAGGGATGATGCAGCAAAGTAGCGTAAGTATTTTCCTTAGTTTTTGAGAACCAAGGTATCAATCCAGTAGGAGGCTACACGCGAGTCCCTCGTACCTGCACAAAACAAATAAATCCTCGCAACCAACGCAAATAGGGTTGTCAATCCCTATAGGGCCACCTACGAGAGTGAGATCTGATAGATATGATAACATAAGATTTTTGGTATTTTTATGATAAAGATGCAAAGTAAAATAAAAGCAAAGTAAATAGAAAAGTAAATAACTAAGTAGTAGGAGATTGATATGATAAAGATAGACACAGGGGCCATAGGTTTCACTAGTGGCTTCTCTCAAGAGCATAAGTATTCTACAGTGGGTGAACAAATTATTGTTGAGAAATTGACAGAATTGAGCATAGTTATGAGAATATCTAGGTATGATCATGTATATAGGCATCACGTCCGAGACAAGTAGACCGACTCCTGCCTGCATCTACTACTATTACTCCACTCATCGACCGCTATCCAGCATGCATCTAGAGTATTAAGTTAAAAACAGAGTAACGCCTTAAGCAAGATGACATGATGTAGAGGAATAGACTCATGCAATATGAAGAAAACCCCATCTTGTTATCCTCGATGGCAAAAATACAATACGTGCCTGTTGGGGAACGTAGTAATTTCAAAAAAATTCCTACGCACACGCAAGATCATGGTGATGCATAGCAACGAGAGGGGAGAGTGGTGTCTACGTACCCTCGTAGACCGGCAACGGAAGTGTTGACACAACGTAGAGGAAGTAGTCGTACGTCTTCCCGATCCGACCGATCCAAATACCGAACGTACGACACCTCCGAGTTCTGCACACGTTCAACTCGGTGACGTCCCTCGAGTTCCGATCCAGCAAAACGTTGAGGGAGAGTT